ACTCACACACACTCACAGACAGACACACTCACACACAGACAGACACACTCACACACACTCACAGACAGACACACTCACACACAGACAGACACACTCACACACACTCACAGACAGACACACTCACACACACACAGACAGACACACACACACACACACACAGACAGACACACTCACACACAGACAGACACACTCACACACACTCACAGACAGACACACTCACACACAGACAGACACACTCACACACACTCACAGACAGACACACTCACACACACACAGACAGACACACTCACACACACTCACAGACAGACACACTCACACACAGACAGACACACTCACACACACTCACAGACAGACACACTCACACACAGACAGACACACTCACACACACTCACAGACAGACACACTCACACACAGACAGACACACTCACACACACACAGACACACTCACACGCACAGACAGACACACGCACACACACGCGCGCGCGCCCCTTCGCCCGTCTCGTACAGAAGAGCCATTGAGACAGGCGCGCACAGACATCGAGGTCCAATTTAATTAGTCCGCCGCATACCCCAGACCCCTCCTCCTCCTCCCTCCTTCTCCTTCGTGATTCTTATTCTGTTTTATAAATAAGAAACCCTCCGCCCCTTCCCCCCGACTCCCGTCTCTCTTTAACCCTTATTCTGCACTCGCACCAATTCCCCCCCTCCTCCTCCTCTCCCATCCCCCTCTCATCCCCCGGTTCCCCTCTATTCCTCATCGAGCCCCCCTCCCCTTGTTATTCATGGTGTGCCTCCCGTGGCACAATGCCCACGTCTGGGCGCTGAAGGGGTTAACCCGGGAATTGTAACGTCAAGTTCTGTGCCGTGACAGGGCTCGCTTTTCCCACGCTCCTACTTTACAAAATAAAGTTCGCGAAACCTCTCTGGTGCCCCCCCCCGTTCCCTCCCTCCCTCGCCCGCCCCCCCCGAGAAATAAGGGAGCCCCCGCGTCACCCACCCACCCACCTTCTCTTCCACCCACCCACCTTCTCTTCCACCCACCCACCTTCTCTTCCACCCACCCACCCACCCATCAACCTCCCAATCTCGCCACTAAATTGATATGCTTAACCACCCCCCGAACTACCACTACCATAGTCATCATCATCATCAACATCACCACGATCATCATCATCATCAACGCCATCGTCATGGCATTCACCATCAGCATCGTCGTTATGACCATCATCACCATCGTCATCATCATTGCCTTCATCGCCACCATCATCATGATGACATCATCCCCACCACCACAACAATCATCATCATCGCCACCACCATCACCAGCATCATCACATCACCATCGGCCAGACCACCACCCCCACCACCCTCACTCACCACCCCCACCACCACCACCAGCCCCATCTCTCGCCCCTAAAACCTCTCACACCCCCCCCGCGCCCCGCAGCCAGAATGAGTCATCATTTGAACGTGAGCCGCGTGTGTAAGACGCGCGGGTAGCAGCGCTGGCTGAGTGGGATTTGAGACGGTGATTAGAGACGGGACGGTGGGAGGGAGTGGTCGAGGAGGTGTGGGGGGGGTAGAGTTGAGAGTTGGGAGCGGGTGGGTGGGGAGATCGTTTTGCTGCTTGTCAAAGTCTAGGGGGGGGTGGTGGAGGGGGGGGGGCGGTCTATACTGCAGGCTTAGTCGACACTGTTGGCACCGATGATAATATTTAAAATGTGATGCACGCCTTTTGGCGTCCTCTGGTCTAACACCGTTTTGAGACGAGGCTCAAAAGAAAGCGGTCTCTGGTGTGGGCCAATCGGTTTCAAGGACAATGCATCATATATTATCAGAGTGTGTTTTTGTTTGTTTGCATTCTGACCACAAGTATTGTGGTTAATGCAGTGCCATGACTCCTTGTGAAAGGTTTCAGTTTGGTGTTTGAACATCTTAACACAGCTGTTTTGTCGCCAGAAAAAATGGGAAAAACTATTCTCTAATGTTCTTAATAATACAAATCGTAAGGTTTTTATATTTGTTACCACCAAAAGAAGTTGAAGCGTAATGAGCTGCGTGTGGTGTTGGTGGTGGTTGTGTCGAGCTGACCAGCAAGCGACCCCAGCTCAAATAGCGGGAGGAGTCGTCTTTCGAGAATCAGAATGTGTATTTATACAGCAGGAGGAATCCGATGAGCTATATAGCTCTTTGTACACAGATGTCCAATAGGGGCGATCGTACGCGGCCGGGTGGTGGCGGGCTACACGACCAAAAGCTCATTTGGGGCCGGATCATTTATATAACGGAGACAAATACCATATTCATAAAAAAAATGTGTTTGTGCTTTATTTATTTACCGTTGTGTCTACCTCCGCATATACCAGGCCCTGTTCCTCGTTTCCTGCCTCTCACTTTATGGGTCTTTTTTTTCTTTCTCCGTGGCTCTCCGCTTCCATCCCACCACCGAAGCCAAAACTCCTCGCCCGAGCATTCGAGCTCGTGATCCACCCGAAGCGAGAGTGGCTGAAATGAAGTCCCCACCCTCCTCTGTCTTCAGATTTGGCGACAATCCTCCGGACACAAACCTCGCAGCCGTCGTCATGGTTGTGATCGTTATGAAAGGTTAAACGGGTAAAGGCGCAGCCCTGCATGTGCTCGCTAACGCCGCTGCTGGTGGGGAGGGCCTCCGCTAGAGGCGGAGCGCTCGAGAAGGGTGTTTGGCCTACTCATCCACGCAGGCCGGACGTCGATCATCGACCTAACTGTGTTGAACCCGTTTACACTGCGGGGTGGACAGAGGCAGTGCGCGTGTGACAGCAACAAAAACAACAACGACAACAGTTGTAACAACAGCAATTGTTGTAACAATCACAATTGCTGTTGTGACAATTGTAAGAACAGCAGCGACAATTGTTGCGACGGTTCGACTGAGCTTGTCCGAGTGCTCTGTGTTGCACGGTTGCGTGTGTCATTGCACGTGGTTGCATGTGGTCGTGGCTGGTTGCGAGTGATTGCACGTGGTTGCGCGAGCGAGGTCACGTGTTCACGTGTTCGTGGCCGCGCGTAGGTCACGCATGTCGCTGCAAGTGGTCGCATGTGGTAGAGGTGGTTGCGTATTGCTGCAGGCGGTTGCGCGCGTCGCCGGTGGGGTTGGGCGGTGGGGGGGGTTGATAGGGGGGGGGGGTATTGGTGGGGGGGGTATTGGTGGGGGGGGTGTTATTGGTGGGGGGGAGGGGGGTAAACTTAACCAATGAGGTGCCGGGGCACGTTTTTCTCTCCGCACACAAAAGCAAAAAAAAAGTAAAAAAAAAATTCTCGCCGCCGCCGCCGTGTTCTCAATGGCTATTCATTGCCATGGAGAAAGCGTAACGTAGAACGGGGGTGGTGGCGTGGGGGTGAGAATGCGGCTCGAGAAGACGGGGAGAGTTTTGGTGGTGGTGGTGGTGGTGGAGGGGGTGGTACTGATTTACATCTCCCCGCTCCGTCTCCCACTCGCACGACCGCCGCGTCAATGGCTGTCCATCAGCGGCCGCCACTGACGTGGCTATGGCTATGGTGGCGGCGGCGGTGGTGGTGGTGAAGGCAGCACCAGCAAATGTTGCATCGGGCCTGAATGGTTTCACGCGTGCGAGTTGTGTGCGTCGGTCAGCGAGCCCGCTGAGCTGCGAACCCGGCGACCCGAGTTCGATTCCCGCTCGCGGCCACCAACACCGAGTGACGATTAGATTATCTGAACCGGTTCTGGGCCTCCCCTAGGTCGACTTAGCCTCAAAATGAGTACCTGGTGCGATGTGTGAACATTGCCACTGGGGAGACAAAGGCGGCCGGGAGTGGTGTTGGCCAGCCACGCCCCCTCGTGTGTCGTCCCGGGTTTCATAGGTGCTCGCTAACAGCACTTGCCTCAACAGTCTGTTGAGGCTATGGGGGGGGGGGGGGTCTTTGTCTTTGTGAGTTGTTTGGGGAGCGGTGGTGCAGCGGTTAGCGCGGCACTGCGCTACGAACCCGGCGACCCGAGTTCAATTCCTGCTCGCGGCCACCACCAACACCGGTGATGATTATGATTAGAACCGATCCTGGGCCTTCCCCTAGTTCGCCTGGCGTGATGCAACAGTCCACCGTGCCGATGTCATCATCGCTCCATCTCTGCCGTGGACACAACCCTCAGGAGCTGCCACTGTAGTCTCGAGCAGCGGGTCATCATCATCATCACCACCATCATCATCATCACCACCATCACCTTCATCACGGTCATCGCCATCATCGTCACCACCACCATCGTCACCGCCATGGCCATCATCATCCCGTCCAGTCAGCCTAACACGAAGTGCCCGGTGCGATGTGTGAACATCAGCGAATGTGTGTGTGTGCAAACGATGCGTTTGTGTTAACGGAGTTGACGGAACGCCTACAGACGAGGGCAGATCAAACAAGGCGAACGAAGCGGTCAAACAAAAACAGTGAGACCAAACACAAATAATAATAATATGAATAATAGTCGACACCTGAATCCGGAACCGCGGTTCCTAAATCGTCACGGTTCATCGAGACCGCGAGCGAGCTATTACCCGTCGTGCGCGGCGGTGCGCTTTAACCAAAACGTCATCGTATTAGTAATAGTTTTTTTTACTTTTTTTTACTTTTATCTGGCACAAAAAACTGACACCTTTATACGAGGGATCGTGTTTGCAATAACCACAGCACAAGCAGTCAAACATGAAAACAAAAAGAGACAACTCTGATGATAATATTGGCACTGTCCTTGAATTTGATTGGTCCACACCCGAGACGGCTTTTCTTAGAGCCCTTTAGTCTCCATTGGTGTTGGGACCAGAAGACGCCAAAAGGCGTACAACTCAAAAACAGCGCACCATCAGAGTATTGAGGGCTCGGGGTAAGCACTTACATTATGAGGTCTCGTAATAAAACGTCATCGTCTTAAATAATCGTGACAACGAACCCTCTGATTAATAATCGTGACAACGAACTCTCTAATTCTGGCTCTCTTCTTTCCATCGCAGATGTTGTGGCGCGTGAACTGCTACGGCGCCCAAGGAGGACTGCGAAACCGAGAGACCGCGGGAGGATTCCGCTCGCCAACTGGAAGGACAGAGTGGAAGAAGAGGAAGGGGAAGAAAAATCTTGCTCCCGCATGGAACCCCGTTAAGAAGTTGCCCCCGGACGTATTTCGTACGCGATGATGACGACACGAAATTTGGAGCGGCGTGGCTAGACGACGTCGCGCGCAGCGACGTCATCGTCCCCCCCCCCCAATGACGTCGTTCACGGATGATGACGTCACGAGTGGGGATGTCATCGCCCCCCCAATGACGTTGTTCGCGGATGATGAGATCACGCGCAGTGATGTCGTCGCCCGCAAACGGCGTCATCGCCCTGGCTGGCAAGACGAATACTTTTTAGCGCTGGTTCTTTAGTCGCCAAGTTCCGGGAGATTTGTCAAGTTTTGCTATGCGGGGGGGGGGGGGGGGGGGCGGTAAAGTCCCTTAGAAGAGCCAAGACAATTTAATATGAAACTTCCTTTCTCGCCACGGACCATCTTCACGTGACGGCGCGCGTTACGTACGTGTACGTGTGTACGTGCGTGTACGTGTGTACGTGCGTGTACGTGTGTACGTACGTGTACGTGTGTACGTACGTCTAACTTAATTCGCCACCGTAGGTAGCCAACCGCGCTCATCGGAGGTGCGAACGGTGCTAACACTTGCCCAGCGCGCTCCGGCGTGCGAGGAAATGCCCTGGTTTGTTTCGGTATGGGGGAGTTTAACGACGAATTAGGAATTAAATCGGTTCACAATCGATACTTGGGCTCGGAGTCCGATGCCAGCTTCATTTTTATTTGTTGTTGGTTCAAATCAAACCGCGAGCCCAGTATTCAATCGCTGAAGATGCCCTGCTGTGGGGAAAAAGGTGCGCCACAATATTGTCGACACAAAAACACGACTTCAATTTGACCATCATTTAGGATGCATTTAAAATGTATTGTGCAAAAGAGGACACGCAAAACATTGATTGTTAGAAAAAATAAAATCAAGAGTAATATTTTAAATGTGTGCAGTCCTGTACAAATGTGGTGATAAAAGCCCCACTCCCCCCCCCCCGTATGACATCGGACATGGTTGGTTGTTTTGTCCATACTTCACCACGCCGGTCAGGGTGGGTTGGTGAGGATATCGCTCGCCACCGATGTGAGCCGTGGCCAGGAATTTGAGCGCGGGTCGTCCTGTTTACGGTCCAGTGCACCAGCCGCTGCGCCGTCGCACCACTGCTGGATGAGGGCCTTCCACACGCTGTCGCCACATCCATGGTGCGTACGTGCAGCGGTGTCAAATAAAATCGATATTGAAGATAATAATAATAATAAAACTAACTTTAGCGAATTTGCGCCATTTTGCTTCCCGCTCGCGGGCTCACCACCGCTCTCTGGATGCGCCAATCAAACAAAACAGTCGCGGCTGTAACGATCCACGCGGAATATGCAACGTACGTAGGAGGCGCGGATAAAAACTCACAACTCAAATGAACGTCGCGAGTGGCAATTTCAACGTCGCTTCTGTCGACCAGCACGAATTAAACGCCTTCATTTTATTATATTTTTTGGTCGTAGGAGATATTTTTTTTATTTTCTTCTAAAACCACGATCGTCAATTAACGGGGAAAGGGGCAGAGAGCGCCCCCACCCCCCCACCCCCACCACCAACCACCCCAGATTCCGTTCTTGTGCCGAGAGATTTTGATTCGGAACCTCGTGCCAATCCGTGCCGGAGGGCACCTCGGCGGGGGGGGGGGGGGGGGGGGTGTCTTTTGGCCTGCTCCTCCACGCTGGAGTAGTAGGTGGGAGAGGAGCCACGCTTCTTGACTCCAGCACACGTGACCTGCCGGCTATTAACGAGCGGCACTCAATGGCACAGTTCTCATCGCGTTATTCTGCGCAAAAATAAATCACGTTCAACGAAAGATTTGGCCTTTTTTTAATATATGTAATGCAACACATGTATTTTATGATTTCATATTTTATTATTTGTTTATATGCAGCTTATGGGGGGAAGGGGGGGGGGGTAGCGGATGGGACGGCGGCTGGCGCGCTGCCCTGTGAACGCGGCCACCCGAGTTCGACTCCCGGCTGTGGCTAACATCAGCGGTGGCGAGCGAGTGACACCCAAACCGATCCTGGACCTCCCCGTCTCCTTCGCAAACTCGCGCTGACCATCGAGGTGAAGTATGGTCAAACAAAACCCACATGATCCATGCGGCGTGGGAGGGTGGAGAGAGCCCGCTCATCCAGCAGCGGATCGATAAAAGGGCCGTTCGTATCATCACGTGACGAACACGATCGATGACTCGATGACAACAATTGTGTAAATGTTCATGGTACAAAAATATCACGAATAAAATAAAGAAAGCAGACGTTGGGCCTTGGCGCACTGCTAAAAGCTTCAAAGACCACGTGACGATTCAGCTTGTTTGGCCATGTCGGGTGGTGGAGGGTGTTACGACACAAATCCGGCCTTATTGTTAAAAACGCGGCCAAACCAAAAGCAATTAAGAATCTGAACCTTGGCTGCGATTTAATCATTTACTCCATTTTGATAACCTTGGGTGTTGTATGTATGTGTGTACGTTGAACTTCCATCGCACCGCACGTAGCCAACCGTGCTAATCGGAGGTGCGGGGGAAGGACGACAAACAAACCACAAAAATCAGTGCTGAAGAAATTCGTTTTCAATCAAGGCCACTTAAAAGTCGCATAGCTCCGCTCGGCTTTCTAACATTGAAAGGAAGAGCGTTCCAGACGGCCGCAGAAGCGCGCTTGAACAGCGGCGCGCGGCGACGCGGCCGCAATCTTTGTTCGATAAGCCAGCCAAAGAGCCGCGGCCCCTCCGGCTGCTCCTGCTGCGGGGGGGGGGGGGGGGTGACCGGGGTTCGCGTCACGACGGTTTATGCAACCCCTCGACGAGGGCGGGGGCGGTTGCGGTTCGTTCGTGGCGAGCGCCTCCGCCTACGTTTGGAGGAGAGACGCGGCGATGAAGACGACGCGAATTTACCGGAGCACGGGGGACTTCACAACGGGAGTCGCTGGCGACGCGGCGCCCTTCTAAAAAAAAAACTAGAACTAAAAAAGAAACTAGAAACTTATTCTCGGCTCTTTCGGTAAAGTCACGTTGAAGGGAAACAATAAAATAATAAAATGTATATAAAACAATATAAATTCTCACGACGTTTCGACCATAACACAAACGTTTGTGTGTTATTGTCGAAACGTGAGAATTTTGGTTATGGTCGAAACGTCGTGAGAATTTTTATTGTTTTATATATATTTTATTATTTTATTGTTTCCCTTCAACGTGACTTTACCGAAAGAGCTAAGAATATGAATTACTGCAGTCACGAAAACTTTAAATCAAAATTTAAACTATGAACTTGTTTTGTTTGTTTTACCGGGGGAAGGCCCGCTGAGCTGTGTAGCCCTTTTTCGGAAGCGACCTGGCCGCAAACGACAGCTCAATGGAAGTGGCTTCACATCACGTGACAATTTATTAGCCAAATACCAAATGCCCTAAACACGCGATGTTGATTCTGTAAATGTCGACGCAATAGCCGGTGAACCTGGAGAAAAATCAACGTGACCATGCGGAGAGAGAGAGACATGCAAACTCCAAATATACAGCAGGCATCAGGATTGGGATCGAACCCACGACCTGTATACCAGGCGAGGGAGTTAACTATACTAACTATTTTTATTTGATCAGGTAATGCCCACTGATCTATGTTGCTCTTTTTCAGAAGCGCCGTGGCCACATGATAGCTCAACGAAGTGGCTTATCACGTGGAAATGTATAGCAGTCAAATATTCTAAACGCGGGATGTTGATTCTTAATGTGGAGTGAAAAAACCGGACGACCCGGAGAAAAATCCATGCAACCACGGTGAGAGAGAGAGAGACACCGAAAACTCCAAATATCCAGCAGGCGTCAGGGTCGGGATCAAATCCACGACCTCCTGCGTACCAAGCGAGGGCGTTAACATCTCTTAGCCACTGTGATGATCATGATGAGAGAGAGAGACACGCAAAGCCCAAATATACAACAGGCATCAGAGTCGGGATCAAACCCACGACCTCCTGCGTACCAAGCGAGGGCGTTAACATCCCCTAGCCACTGTGATGATCATGATGAGAGAGAGACACGCAAAGCCCAAATATACAACAGGCGTCAGAGTCGGGATCAAACCCACGACCTCCTGCATACCAGGCGAGGGCGTTAACATCTCATAGCCACCGCTGGCGCCCAGCTCTGTGTTCGCGTGGCACGGTGGAGCGAGACGGATCTCGGTTTGTAAGTCGGAGCGACGACTATTCTTCACCTCGAGGTGGCCGGGCGTGCTCGGTTGGTGAGGGGTGGTCAAGAGGACGCCGAGGTCAAGTCCGCCGAAAGCCTCGGTTCGAGTCCTGGTTCTAGGCACTCCCCCCGCGATTTGGACTGCTTGTGCTTGAGTGTAGTTGGTTGCTGCTGCTCAGCGCCTGGGTCACTGATGACTTCCATAGAGACTCATAGACCTACATAGAGACCTAAAGACGTTTAGGGCTTCATAGACGCACATCGAGACCGATAGACGTATACGGAGTCCCGATGTCTTCAATAGACTCATCGACCCATATAGAGAGCCATAGCATTATAAAGCTTCATAGACTCACATAGAGAAGCTATAGACTTATAGAGAGCCATAGACTCACATATAGTTCCATAGAATTACATAGAGACCTATCGACTCTCACACAGGGATACCCAGAGGAGTAAAAATAGATCCATAAGCTCGCGTAGAAATCCATTGCCTTGCATAGAGCGAGTTGTGATGGTTCTTGCTGTGGTTTTCACACCTGATGATGATTGCTTGTGTTGCAGTCGAAACGTCGTGAGAATTGTATTGTTTTGTATTTTTTTATTATTTTATTGTTTCCCTTCTACGGTGACTTTACCGAAAGAACCAAGAATATGAATCCCTGCAGTCACGAAAGATTTAAATCAAAATTTAAACCAGAGTTATCAAGTACAGCGCGCTCTCTCTCCCTCTCTCTCGCCTGCTCCCTTCTCTGTCCTCTCCACTGGAACCAACTCCGATGGGCAGCACATACAGGGCAGTCGTCTTCACTGTGAATACAGAAGCACACAGAGCAGTCGTCTTCACTGTGAATACGGCAGCACACAGGGCAGTCGTCTTCAGTGTGAATACGACAGCACATACAGGGCAGTCGTCTTCAGTGTGAATACGACAGCACACAGAGCAGTCGTCTTCACTGTGAATACGGCAGCACACAGGGCAGTCGTCTTCACTGTGAGTACGGCAGCACACAGGGCAGTCGTCTTCATTGTGAATACGACAGCACACAGGGCAGTCGTCTTCACTGTGAATACGGCAGCACACAGGGCAGTCGTCTTCACTGTGAATACGGCAGCACATACAGGGCAGTCGTCTTCAGTGTAAATACAGAAGCACACAGGGCAGTCGTCTTCACTGTGAATACGACAGCACACAGGGCAGTCGTCTTCAGTGTGAATACGGCAGCACACAGGGCAGTCGTCTTCAGTGTGAATACGACAGCACACAGGGCAGTCGTCTTCAGTGTAAACACGACGATGATGACGATGCCGACCTGCAGCTTCCGCTCTGCCTTAGAACGACCGCCGTCTCCTCTCTCTCCCCAGCCCCAACCACTATCACTACCCCAGCCCCTACCACTACCCCTGTCACTACCCCTACCACTACCCCTATCACTATTACTATCACTACCCCTATCACTACCACTATCACTGTCACTACCCCTGTCACTACCCCTATCACTACCCCAGCCCCTACCCCTATCACTACCCCAGCACCTATCACTACCCCAACCCTTATCACTACCCCAACCCTATCACTACTCCAACCCCTATCACTACTCCAGCCCCTATCACTACCCCAACCCCTATCACTACCCCAACCCTTATCACTATCCCAACCCCTATCACTACCCCAACCCCTATCACTACCCCAACCCCTATCACTACCCCAGCCTCTATCACTACCCTTATCACTACCCCAACCCCTATCACTACCCCAGCACGTATCACTACCCCTATCACTACCCCAACACCTATCACTACTCCAACCCCTATCACTACTCCAGCCCCTATCACTACCCCAACCCCTATCACTACCCCAACCCTATCACTACCCCAACCCCTATCACTACCCCAACCATATCACTGTCCCAACCCCTATCACTACCCCAACCCCTATCACTACCCCAACCCCTATCACTACCCCAACCCTTATCACTACCCCAACCCCTATCACTACCCCAGCACCTATCACTACCCCAACCCTTATCACTACCCCAGCACCTATCACTACCCTAACCCCTATTACTACCCCTATCACTACCCCAACCCCTATCACTACCCCAACCCTTATCACTACCCCAACCCCTATCACTACCCCAGCACCTATCACTACCCCAACCCATATCACTACCCCAGCACCTATCACTACCCCAACCCCTATCACTACCCCAACCCCTATCACTACTCTAACCGTTATCACTACCCCAACCCCTATCACTACCCCAACCCCTATCATTACCCCAACCCCTATCACTACCCCAACCCCTATCACTACCCCAACCCCTATCACTACCCTAACCCCTATTACTACCCCAACCCCTATCACTACCCTAACCCTTATCACTACCCCAACCGTTATCACTACCCCAACCCCTATCACTACCCCAACCCCTATCACTACCCCAACCCCTATCACTACCCCAGCCCCTATCACTACCCCAACCCCTATCAATACCCCAGCCTCTATCACTACCCCAACCCCTATCACTACCCCAACCCCTATCACTACCCCAGCCTCTATCACTACCCCTATCACTACCCCAACCCCTATCACTACCCCAAACCCTATCACTACCCCAGCCCCTATCACTACCCCAACCCCTATCACTACCCCAGCCTCTATCACTACCCCTATCACTACCCCAACCCCTATCACTACCCCAAACCCTATCACTACCCCAGCCCCTATCACTACCCCAACTCCCATCACTACACCTACCCCCATCACTACCCCTACCCTTATCACTACCTCAACCACTATCACTACCCCAACCCCTATCACTACCCCAACCCCTATAACTACCCCAACCCCTATCACTACCCCAACCCCTATCACTACCCCTACCACTGTCACTGCTCCTACCCCTATCACTACCCCAACCCCTCCTGAACGACTCCCGCCTGTCCTCCCTGTCACCACAGCCACACCTCCCCATGTTTCAATAACAACTCCACCCTTTGTGCCACTGTCGACTTGCGTACAATTTTATAATGTGTAAATCGCCTTGGACGAAGGCGCTGCTGCTGGACGCATCTATATATCAGGTATCCTACGGGGAGT